TCACATTAGAAAGGTGAGCTGCAGATGGTGGGGAAGAGCAAGGTCAACTCCTTTCCCCCGCAGGCAGCACGGAGGTGGAGGCTGTGAACAGAAAGGCTGTTACAGCATGAGGTTGTGTTACAGACTGGCACCCAGAAAAGGGGAGATGTGACAAACATCACAGCTGGGACAGGTGTCTTTCACATGCTGGAGAAGTCGAGCCTGTCGTGAGTAACTTGATTTCAAACACGACTTCTCTAGGCTGTCCAAAGAGTTGGAAGTGCCCAAGGGTGTGTGTGTGTGATCATGGCTTTGGCTCCTGGCAGACACCTGGAGCCCCAGGAACATCTCCCTGGGTGTGAAGTGGTGCCCCACAAACCCCAGAGCTGTGTTCATGCTGAGGGGTTTCATCATGCTTAGAAGGGACCCACAGCACTCACCTCAGCTTCAAAGCACATGACTTACAGCTTTTAGTTTTCCAAGAAATAGATGCCAAAAGTGTTAATTAGGTGGGCCACCACAAGAAGGCTGAGCTGTTTTTAGAAGGTAAGAGCAGACCCTCTACAGCTGGGGCTTTCCAACCCCCTCCCACACAAACGCTCTGGCACTCCCCATGGCTTACCTCCCACCACAGGCTTGGACGAGAAACTGCCTCGTGTCTGGGCAGCCAGCTACATAAACTCTACTCTGGGGACTGTAAGGGAGGCTGAGTAGTCCTCAGCTCTAGCTCTGGAAAGTAAAGGTGTGTCAGATCCCTTTTTCCAAAGCAGGAGGTCCTTCTGGTCATTTGTGTGTGTAAGTCAGGGATCCTCCCACAAAAAAGTGATCTTGTCCTGGGGCAAACTGATCCGGCTGGAACCAGCTGCAAACTGCACTTCAATACTATACCATCACTGGGAACCAAAACCTTCAAAAAAGACAATAAATGCTGTGTAGGATTTTAAAAGGGAGGCTGGTGTCCCTGATACAGCATCATCCAGTGTGATTGCCACAGCATGTAAAATCCTGTATTCCATGCAGGCAACACTGCTCTAAAACACTCAGAAGCAGCTCTTCTAAGTAATGTGCAAAAGCCTGAAGATTAAGTTCTCAGCCTAAGCTGAAAATGACCATCAGAAACTACCAGGGCATTGCTGGGATGCAGCCAGAATGAAGGGGGCATGAAATAGCGAAGCATCATGAAGCAGGACCACCCCTTGGCTCAGAGCCCCCAGGAGCATTTTTGAAGAGCGACAGTTTTCTCTACACAAGGTGTAGCAGGGCTTCTTCAACATCTCCCAGTAGGAACACTGGCCAAGAAAGGACTGCCCAGTTACTTTGTCCTTCTGGCTTCAGGAAGCCACATAGCCCAGAATGGGACATGGACATACTCTCCAATACCATTTGCTTCGGAGTAATATCACTTTTCTGAGTTTTGCATCTTCCACAGCCTTCCAGGCTTCAATTAAAGTGAACTCTTCAAAACCACAGTGACAAATGACCAGAAGGAAAACACATTCCCTCCTGTTTGGATGAGGACAGGTTATCACCACAGATGACAGTCAACCATGATCTAGCTGAGCTCATCTGTTTTCCTAGAAACCCTCCTTCCAACTTAGTTTAAATACTGCTGTCAAGATTAAGCTTAAAACTTAGTTCTCCTTCCAAAACGTAGACAATTCCATTTCCTTATGTCTTAAAAAATACTGTATCTCCTGAGATGAACTGGGTAACAAAGGGCGGACTCTGAGTGACAAATGGCTGACCATGTGAACACCCCTCTGCAGCCCGCTCCTCCCATCCCAATCCTGATGGGTGCCAAAGAAAGGGAGCTGGTGGTATAAAAAGCATAAATAAAAGGTATAAGAGAACTGAAGATATATTGATAAAAGAGAAGAGTGACATAGGCAATTGGAGGTACTACAAGGCAAGTAAAGAAACACTCCAGTGCTGAGGAACCACAAACTCTGTCTATCTGGATATCACAGAGCATGTTTTCTTGGTGTGGCCTTTTGGTCAAATAGGCTAGTTTAGTTTCTGCTAAAGTCCTCAGACTTTCCACCAGAATATAAAGGCTCCTGCCCACAGTCTGCTTTTCTGTATGTACGTTCAGGCAGACTCATCAGGAAACCTATACATGAAAAGAGGTTCCTGATTAAAAGGAAAAATCCTCCAGCCCCACCACAAACTGCTTTATCCAAATGCCACTAAATATTTACAAAGTCTGAAAAATGCATTTATAAACACAGACATGTGCTAAGCACTTAAATATTTCATATGCTTCACCCAGCTTTAAGAGCAGCGCAAGCCATGTCCAAGCAGATTGCACTCTTTCAGTTTTGTATGTCCTTCTGAGAGCTGAACTTTGGTCTGTCTGAACAGAAAGCAAAACTGAAATCAGTTTTATTAATTTTTTTGAAGTTGAAGACCTAGAGCTTTTCAGCTGCAGAACATTTTTTTCCTTGTTCATGCCCTGATAAGATTGGCAAACCAGAAGTGACAGTATCTTTTGATTTGTAAGTGGATAGCAGCCGAGTCAGTATGAACACATGACTTTTAAATTAGCAAACAATGAATTCGCTCTTAGGGACTTTCCATGTCCTGTCGGAAATAGCGCAGCGAGGGACTTTCCATAGTGGGAGTGCTGAGCTGCTGCAGGACGTTACACACATTGCTGGCTACAGATGCAACCATACTGCCGGAGGAGACCACTAAATTAACAAGCCTACCCATAAAGCAGGGCTTAACATTAGTCCACAGTACTGAGAGAGACTCTGGGCTCAGAGGTTCGTTTGATGCCTCCTCTCCTCAGCTCCACATACCATCTCCCAAGCTCCAACCACATGAGGACAGCCAGGCCTGATTAAATGCCACAGCTCCTTGGCAGGCAGCTGAGAGGAGAGATAACACAGTCCAGATCTTCTCTCTGACCCACAATTCCCAGGAAAGAAATAGCTTCTCCCAAGAGCGCACAAAATAACCTCAACCCCAGTAGACTGAATGCCACCCCTGGTAGGCAGGAGAGACAAGGTCAATCCCGAGAGGAACAAACTCATGTTGCTCGAAATCCCGCTCCCCTTTCATCACACAAGACTGCCCCAAGACTAACAAAACCCATGACAGTCAAGATCAGTGCTGAAGACCTGCAGCCCAAGCACCCTGGAGTCGCACCTCTACACAACATAAGACTTGTTTTAGCAAAACACCTAACAGGACCTTTTGAAGATTAGGCGGAGAGTAAAAAAGAGGCAAAGCCTTATCCATTCAGATGGTCTTAAGCAGTTGTGCTAAGGTCTTGGAGCATCACACACACCTACAGCCTTGCAAGAAGAAAGACTTATCCCAGGACAGCTCATTTCCCTTTTGAACTTCTAGTGCAAGTTCTGGCTGAATTCAAGCCTGTGTTCCAACGTTTGTGAGACCACACAGGGAAGACCTTTGGTAGCTGATGATTTTTGTTGAGCTCTACAGGAACTCTTTTAAGATTTTATTTTTTTTTTAATCCAGGAGAAAAGGTTCAGAAGAGCTCATCAGTCACAGCACAATCAATAGCATCGGAAGCTGTTGAGAAATATAGTTTAGTGTAATGGAGATGAGCTCCCTTACTACAATCACCATTTTGAACACTGCAGCAGGCATTAGACTTCTAGTCACTGGTCAGCAGCAGAAATTAAAGTGTGGGTCAAACAATCTGCAGGCACCAACAGCACAGTTTGAACCTGGAACCTCAGTAGAACATACTGTACCCTGCAATGCAACTCCCAAACTCTCAGTGCTGTATCACTGTTAAGCTTTTTCCTTGACATTTATTCATTCACACCATGAGTCACTTAGAGATCTATGAATGAGGGTTTCACAGCAGAACCATTTAGCACCCTACATTCCCTCACCTTTTGGACTGAACTTCTAGCACAAAGAAGCAGAAGGTTCTAGACGACAGGACAAGGAAGCAGAGGTGCAGAAGCATCTCTCTGTTAACAGGCTTAGGAGCTAGTCAGAAAACTCAAGCATGATCCACAGCTGTTTTTTAATTCCTGTCATCTTGCAGTAGCATTGGAGAGAATCCAAACATTACCCTAGACAGACTGAGGTTTCAACTTTTCCTGACACACATCTCAGCCACTACCAAAGTTCCATGAACCACAGGACTACAATCTTTACCTAGGATGAGTGTTGGAGGGAAATAACATTTATTCCTCTCAGACCCCCCACATGGTGGTTCTTCCATTCCAAGAGGGATGACAAAACTGTCCTTCAGGAGCACCAAAGCTTCACAGGCATATACACATTCACTGCTAACTGCCAATGCATTTTAATGATGCAAATTGCCACAGAAGAGTTGGATTTGTTGAAAAGCACAGGGAGGTATGTGGCCCACTGCCTCTCAACAAGAACACGCTTCTCACAAGGCACGTTAGCCAGACACACGCTAAGGACCAAATGCCCAAGGCCACAAAAGGGCAGCCTGGATTAAAGAGCTGGTGGGCTCCTTGAGAAGATCAGGGCTGGAAAAACCATCCTGTCCAGCAGACTCGTGGTCCAGAACAGCTCGGAGCAATGGGTGGCCAGCCAGTGACCAACGCCTGGTCCTGCTGCCCTGGCAGCTATGGAGGCAGCTGACTGGAAAGAGGATTGTGGCCAGGCCACTTTCCCCAAGCTCATAGGTCTGAAGTAGCTTTTAGGTTTACATAATGCAGAGAACTTCACAACAATTTCATGGCATGGCACAGTTTCTTGACACTTTACTTGTTTTTTACAGCAGAAAGGAGCTGGAGATAGAGCAGGTGATTCCCACCGTGGAAGGGACGTGCTTGGTGCCTGTAATCATGAGCAGACCTGAAATTGTTTCAGTTCAGCCCATGCCCTCAGCAGGGCACACAAACCTAGCTCAGCCAAGCAATCTCTCCAGCTTGCAGTGAAGTCCAGGGAGATGAAAGTTCCCACAAACACTGCCAGTGTCAGTGTACAAGTAAAACCACCTGAGCTCCCCTCAAAGACACAGGAAAGGACACGGACATCAAAAGCCTTGTTTTGATCTTTACCTCATATTCTTTAATAGTCCCCTTCCAAGTGCAGCCACTGTTAATACAGACAGCAGGCAGACTTTCCACCTCCCGCCGAGCTGCATTGTCTGGGAAAGCCTAAAATGGGAAAAACAAGTAAACCACAAAAATTACTGAGGGGTTGCAGCTTTAGTCCAGTCTCTTAATTCTTTATTAAGACCTTATTGAGGCTTCTTCCAGGCCGCTTACCACATCACAGCCTCAGAGGTGTGCTAGTGGCAAACAAATCATTATTACAGTGTTTAAATAGGCCACCGCTATATTAACGTGACCTGGATTTTAGAAGCTGGGGAGTCTACCACATTAATCATAACTCTCACTACTGAAGAAGACGTTTCCTAGGAATAAGGATTTCTCAGAACCTGTGTTTTAAACAAAAACTGCAAGTGGTATCGATTACATCAGTGAGCTTCTTTATTTTAAAAAATTTTTACTTACCGAGCTTGTTTCCAAAATAGAAATCCCTTCTTCGTATATCCCTTCCTGAATACAGCTGGCACACTTTTGAGGTCCAGCACTATCAGACAGAAAAAATAATCATCAAACACAACATAAAGAGACCAATTTATGATTTAGCAGTAAAGTGATTTCTGGTAACTTTATAAAACGAAAGCATTTTCTTATTTTTAAAACACCACATTGAGCCTTTGCTTATGTGCATTTCTGATGCCCATTTCTGATTCTAAATATTTATCTTCTCCTGATTAACTCCTGTATTCAACTTCCCTCACTTAAAAGTAAGAGTGAGACTGAACACAAGGAAACTTTTCTGGAAGCCCTTATGGAAGTGCTTAAATTCCTCACGTTTTGGCACGACAACCATATGATGACTGAGGAGCAAGTTCCTTCAGTAGCTATGAGGAAGACTGAAGGAGATGGGTGATCCACCTGGACTGTGACCTGAACAGCAGAAACAATCTGGGAGATTCTGGAAAAGGGAACTTTGAAGCAACACCCAGAACAATAAAAGCACATCAGAGATTACACATTCCCTTAAATATGACCTGATACTGAACCTCAATGATTAAACACAGCTCCCTTGCTGAAAAGGCCCTAAAAATTAGACCTCTCTTTTTTTTTTTTTCTTGAAAATGCCTTTTCAAGCATTTTGTCTTCAGAATGAAGGCAAAAAGTTAGTTACCTTATAATTTTCTTCAGACAATAGGAACAGTAGCGATGTCCACACTGAGCTTGAAATGGCCTCCTCAATATATTCTTGCAATCTGAGCAGAGGTATTTGACCTCCAGTTTAGTTCCCAGGATCTCCTTCGCAAATCCAGGCTGGTTTAGATCCAAAGAGCCAGGCGGAGTAGAGTTTGCTGCTGCCATGTGAACAAAAAATTCTGGCTGTATCTCCAGAGCCTGAAAACAACAATATTTTCCCTGTGTGATTATAAGTGGATGGTGGTAATTTTCCACATAAACTCACAGCATATTACACTGGCACCCAAAACTCAACAACACAGATAAACACATTGATGTGAATGACAAGCCTGCCTCCATCTAGTTAAAAATATGGAAAGAAAATTTACAGTTAATTTTAGAATGAAATCCAGAACAAAGTAACAGGGTAGACACCCCACACTAAAATCACCATCCAAGTTTATTGAAATACAGCCTATACAGAGAAATCAAGGCTTCTGGCCCAAACCAGGGTAAAAAAACATCCTAAAGCTGATCAGGAGTATAAATAAATTGCTTCACTAAAAACCTGTAGGCACTGAGGTAACCATAGCCTACCACCGCTTGTTTTCACATCTGTCAGTTGTCAAAAAAGACCGTAATTCTGCCCAAAGCCAGATGTTCCCAGGGAGATGGCCTGCACACAGCAGAGCCCAGATTTACAGGCAATGCCAAAGCAGGGCTACAGGGCTCCCCAAAAGGCTGGAAAACAAAGATGCGGGAGGCACAAGCAAATTAGGAAGGAGGGAAAGAATAAAATGAATTTGTTTTGACCACTTATGATGATCTAAAGACGCATCTCCCACCTTCACACCCTGTGAGTGCATTCCACAGCCACCTGAAAGGTGTGAGGCAGCAGCACCCCCAGGTCCCTCTGTCCCACCAGCACGAGGCTAACTCAGCTAAATTTCGGCTAAGATCCAATTTTGCCTGTACCAGGGGTTGTTAGAGCCGCTAAAGTGACCCCAGAGCAGGGACAACAAGGACAGCATTTACGAAGATCCCTTTCACAACCAAGTCACCCCCGGGAGCGCCCGCAGCCCTGCTGTGCCGGCAGGTGTGCAAATGCACTGAGCATCATTATTTCTACGTATATTTAACCAGGTTTTTAATCTAAATTCGATTTTTCAGTTGCATCGTGACTGCCTGTTCCTTGCCAAGTTGCTTTTACAGTCCCAGACACACGCACCTCCAGAGGTGCCGGGGGATCACAAAGGGACAACGCGAGGATGGTGGGAGGCCCGGGCACCGCCTGGTCCAGCCATCCGCTCAGGGCACGGCCTGGAGAGGGACCGGCTCGCCCAGGGCTCTGGGGA